TTTCGGTCCAGAACCTAGCTCCAATTTAATGGATCGCCACTACCTCGACGTTCTTCTGCAAAAACACCGGCCACGGAACGAGCGCGGAACGCGCGCGAAACCGCGAGCGAGCCGCAAATCGAGGGTGTCCCAGGACTCCTGGCGAGTTCACGTCGAGGCTCCCGCTCTTCTTCGTCCCGCGCTTCGCGACGTCGACGACGTCCGACCGCGCGCAGTAGCCCTGGACGGCGCTGTAGCTCAAGGGCGCGCGCTCCGGCACGGCCTTGCCCCGGGCGACGTTCACGAGCACCGTCGCCTGGCCCAGGCTCACGCCCTGCTGCACCGCGTTGCAGACGATGGTCGCCTCCATGGAGTCCTCGACGATGAGGGGCGCCGCGCCCGCGAGCAGGTCGCAGGCGCGCGGGTCGTAGAGGACGCCCTGCGAGTCGGCGTCGCGCAGCTGCCGGAACACCTCCTTCACGCAGCGCGTCGACTCGGGCGACATGTTCATCTGCTTCCTGACCCACACCGCCCAGCCGCGGGGGCCGTCCCAGGTCTCCTCGTCCGGCGCGCCGATCATGCGGTAGAAGTACGCGATCGCCTCGCGGCGGCGCGCGGCCTCCCCGTCGCCCAGCTCGTTAAAGTTCGGCCGCGGCGGCAGCTCCAGGCTGACGCGGGGCGCCGAGGCGGGGTGCGACGCCGCGGAGGCCTTCGCCGCGCGCTTTGAGCGGTTCAAAGCGTCGCGGACGTCGCCCTCGTCGCGCGCGAGAGAACCGTCCAAATAGCAGCCGTCGCCGTTCAGCGTCGGTTCCGCGTAGCGCAATTCGTGTGCCGATGGACCCAGGTCGCCTCGGGAGCGTCGCTTCCGCTGTGTGACGACGGGCGCGCTCATCGCAAGCTTACAAGAGGCGACGGCACCACCGGTCTTTTTTGTAATCAGGATGATCCGGGCATGTCAACACACGTGTTGATGAGGTAAAATCCACCCTGTATGCAGTGTTAAACGCCGCTTCAATTTGGGCTTCAACCTCAAACCTTGCACTTCAACAGGGACCTCAACACAGCCGCTTGCCCTTCAAAGCAACACCGCTGCTCACGCCTCGCGGGGGACTCCAGAACCCTTCCGCGCAATCTTTATTCGCTAAGGACGCGTTAGTCTATCGTCTAGGGCGGCTTAGACGATGGTGGGCGTTTAGCGTGGAATCGCTGCCCGAGGACCTCCGGTGGGCTTCGTGACCCACCCGCTGTGCTAGCTCGGCCCGCCCGGGGCGTTCGGGGCCCCGCGGGCTGCGGAAGGGCGCCCCGTGCCGGGCGTGACGCCATGCCACAAGGCGCTTCTCGCGCGGCCGCTGCTTGCGATGATGTCGGGCCGGATGAGCTGCGCGCGATGGAGGGTGAGTGCACAGGTCT